ACCCTCAGTTTTAAGAAAATATGTATGGCAGGGGACATTAATCTTTACTAATATGAAGATTAGACCTGAACATAACTGATAATTGAACGATATAGAATCGTTTTTGCCGTTTATAAACATTTTCACGATAGATTAAGAACTGAATTCTTCCATTTACATAAATATTAATTCTTTACGTATATCAAACATCTTGATAAATTTGAATATACAATTTTAAATGACTTATTATGTAATGCATAGAACTTATATTAACATTAATTTGTAGTATCTCTTAATGCGTTAGATAGGTGCAGGCAAATTTGCCTGCAAAAAGTTATATATATATAGCGTTAAAAATTTTTTTATAAAACTTTATGTAATATTTCAATATAATATTCATTAAGGTTTAATGTTATTTTTAAACTATAAATTATAAACATTAATTATACTTTATAAAAATTTAGCATAATTTAAAATTGACCGATTTTTATAAAATAAAATTAAATAATTAAGTTATTAATATTTAAAAAATTTTTAAATATGTTCGAACCTTTAAAATATTACTAAATTTTTACTTTAAGTATTAATCCATATAAAAAAAATTATATTTATTCAGTATTTATGTTTAAAATACATATGTACGTATATATACATGTACATATGTGCAATATGTACATATCAGATATATACAACCACAGTGCGTTTGTATTACTAAGGTATATATTGTTATTGTTTTTCAATATATGTATGGTATTTTTCGAAACATGAAGGATGAGATATTTTGCAACAAAGTGCAACATCGCATTTTTTGCACCAAATTTGACTTTGTGTGGATTTTTCATTTATATATTTATCATTTTGTTTTGCATCCCATCGACACCAAATACATGCTACACGGCTTTGGCTTCCTCTCCATTCAGGATAGTGATTTGTACCAGAAAGGCGTATAATCTTATAGGAAACAATGACGTGAGAACAAGTATGAACAATAATATCTAAAAAAAAAGTTACACTAAACTTTATTAAACGATTTTCAGGATTGATCACCAAAAATGTGGCGCAGTAATACGTAATAAGTGCATTTTCTGGTTAATGTTGATCCTTGGCAACATGCCTTACACGATCGATATTTTGCTATTATGTTACTCAAATCTAACCAAATTAGATAAGGTATTTGTTCGGGGGCCTCTCTTATTTCAATTTTTTGCAATTACATTAAAATTAGATTTTGCAGGCAAAATTGCCTGCATAACGTTTTAAGAGATAAAATTATACAGTATACAATTTTGCTTATATTTAGGCATAAGCTTTTAATAAGATTATATAGATGTATTTATTTAATATAGAATTGTATGAATATAATAAGCATAGCGGGCTTTATTATGATTGGCTGATTTTTAAAAATCATCTTATCATAAGAAAGTCTTATTAAAGTAATGATTTTTTGTCACAAGATTAAATTCAGAGCCATGAATATGAATTCCAAGAGTGTAAGACAAATAAAATTAGAAAGTTTGCATCTTATTTTACTAGTTTTAACTCAGTGCATAGCACCACCAGGCTTTAATATTATTAATTATATTTATATTATTTTAAGGGAAAATGTTTTTGTGCATCCACATGGCCGTGCACCCCTATATGCATGTATATAAATAAGCTCATCAAGATAATCAAGATAATAAATTTTTTTTTCTTTTTTTGTCTTTAGCTGCTGTATTAGCATTGTTGTTGGTGTCATCACAGGTGTTATCTCAGTGTTATTGCTGGTGTTATCTTAAGTGTTGTTGCTGGTGTTATTGCTAGTGTCATTATTAGTATCGCTATTAGATTTTCTTCTAGGTTTTTTTGGCAAGTGGTCTTGTGTGCCTCTTGTAGAATAGTCATTTCTTGTACATTTCTCTGTTGGGTGAACTCTTATATTTCTTTGCCCTGTATGTTTTTTGTTGGATAGTTCTGTATTATTCTTTGGTAAATAGTTTTGCACATTTTTCTGAAGTTGTTTTATAGTTTCTTTTGGTTTCTTTTTTTTAGTATTAAGCAGTTTTTTTTGGCATTAATAATAATTGTATAGCTTGCATTTAGTATCATTGAAGTTTATAATTTCACTATGTTTTCAGTATATTGTTAGTACTTGTAGATTTACCATGGTTATTTTTGTTAATGGTGTTGTGATTTCACTTTGGCTTTAAGTCATTGGTACTTGTAGTTTTGTCATAGTTTTCAGTATTATTAATATTCGCTTGGTTATAATAAAAGTTAGTGTAAATTAGAGTAGAGTTAGATTTAGAGTTCAGGTTAGAGTTAGAGTTTGGGTTCAGGTTAATAGTAAGTTTAGAATAGATTATATAGTTAAATAGAAGTTAAAATAGGATTTATTAATTATACTTGTATTTTCATTGTGAATTAATAAAGTATAAATTATACAAAAAAATTATATATATGTAAAGTTCATACAATTTTTAGGCTAAGAATTTTTATTCTCATGATTGAATTGAATTTAGATTGTGAATTATAATTTTTTAAGCAAGGTATCTCCACAGTTACTTGACCAAAATTTGTTAAAACGTTTTTATTTGAATTCTATAGATTCTTAGAATTCATATCATCAATTTTGTTAGGTGGTTATTAAGATATCTTCATTCAAAGCTTTAAAAAAAAAAATTTGGTTAGCTTCTAACTTAATAGGTATTTTGATATTTCTTTAACTTTGAGTAAAGATATCTTTACAATTACATATCAAATTTGATAAAAAAAAATTTTATTTAAATTGTATTGATTTATAGAATACAAATAAAAAAAGGTTTATCAAATTGGATCAAGTAGTCATAGAGATACTTTGCTCAAAGTTTTAAAAAAATTTAGCACAGTTTCTTAATAGATTGATTTTTGAGAAAAGGTATCTCTACAATTACCTGACCAAAATATACAAACCTTTTTTATTTGAATTCTATGGATTTAGAATTCAAATAAGAAATATTTATTGATCTTGATTAGGTGACTGTGAAGATATCTTTGCTCAAATTTTTTAAAAAAACTTGGCAGCAAACTTATAATATTGTGCTCAATTATCAAGCTTAATTGATCAATTATTAAGAATTATATAATTGAGGCAATATACTGCATTATAGTAAGTAAATTTAATTATAATAGAAATAATTCTAATTCAAGATGATAATTTTGTAATAGAGTTTTAACAATAAGTTGCTAATAATTTAAATAAAATATTTAATAAAATAGATAACATGAAGCACCACCTTTCAAACTAGTATACTTTATAATTTTATACTCTAAATACTTTATTTCAGATTAGCGTTCTGAAGTTGAGTTCAGTTTGGTTCGAGTTCGGTTAAACCAAACCCAAACTTTAAATTTTGCAGATCTTCAAACTCGAATCCAAACTAAACCTAGAATTTATGAACCCAAACCAAACTCAAACTTGAAACATTAGTTCAGTCTGAGTTTGATTCGAAGTTCATGAACATGTTTGGGTTCGAATAATAATTAATTCGTGATCTGCATACGAACCAGTGATCTACAATAATAAAAATTGGGGATAATCTACATATACAATTTTACTCAATTTTCAAATCTGTGCATTCCCAATATAAAAAAAAATTATTTTTGATATATTTAATAGTATTTTTTTAAAAAAAATATACTAATACATTATAATATCCAGTTTTCAGATAATAAGTAATACTAAAAAACTAAATACTTAGTCTATCTAACATAACATATAAGATATAATGATACCAAAGGCAGCTTCCGGGTTGATGATCGATGTCATTACTGCGGCTGCCACAGTATCTATAAATCATATATAGTATATGCTACAACAATGACATTAATTATTAACCTAAACTTTTGGGGTCCTGGTATTATCATAAAATACAAGCAAGATTTTTTTTGAAAGTGCACATGAATAAAGTACGCACCTAGTATTACCAAAATCATATATCATATAAAATCGGATATTTATTCAATATTACTCGTGAATATCCAAAACCATGAATATTTAGTAAATAGGATCCCAGCTCTATTCACAGCAACAATTACACCAATAAGTAAATGAAGTAGTCTTGATTTGTTTATTATCATATTTTTTATAGTAAACATATGAATAGCCATCTCCTTTTAACAGATCTTTATGATCTCAAGTGCTAATGAACTTGATCGACAAGGTGAACTAAGTTTTGGATTTTCTATTTTACGATATTAAAGAAAGCGTAAATAGTTATTACGTGTATTATCATTAATAAAGTGTTGTCATTATTGTATCAGTCATTAATCCTAATGGCAAATAAATTTAAAAATTATATACATGCGGTACTAGATGAGTCAATAAAGTATTAGAAACTATTTCTTATATATATAGTAAGCATGAAATAATGCCAACTTATGTTTTATCTATCACCGCATATTGCATATCATGGCTTTTCATGTGAGTTATTTCAAAATAAATTATTTTGCATATAATAATTTCTAAGTTTGGTATATCAAGCCAGATACCCAACTCTTAAAATTATTTGCACATAAATGAATTCCAAGTTCGGTATATCAAACCAGATACCCAACTCTTAAAATTTGCTATTAAAGAGCTTGGTATTTGGTTTGAAATACCAATTTGGTTAGAGAGTGGAAATTTGTTATGCGGCTTTAAGACTACAAGCATCTCTTTTGCTAAAATGAACTATTTCAATCTTATTCATCACTCTTTGAATTTCAAAATTTACTATTGTTGTTATAATGGCAATGCGTGAGGCTCATACTGTAGAATTCACAGAGTTCGATTGTTTAATTTGAAAAAAATGAAAATTCAGAAGATTGAGATACATCAATGACATTTTTTTAATAAAAATTCCCGTTACACTTATTTGAGTCAAAAGTTTTTATTATTCAGGTATATAGCGTACTGTATTCAAAATAGTTAGTGATCATAATAAATTTACTGAGCGTAATCATAAAAAATATATATAAAGTAATTTGCCCATCACAACTCACAAAGCCTTTAAACAGATAACATGTCAAAATACAAAGCTATGCTTTTATTACAGGGCAAACTTGTACAAACTTTACATTTTGGGCCATATGCTAAAAATTGGTGGATTTCATGTTTAACTCATGATTTAACATATACATTTCTCTATCCGGTTTGTCTCAGTATGAAAACTATAACTATAGTAAATCATCGTGACTTCATAATTACAGTTGTTCAGAATAATTTTGAACCCAGGTATATATGTCAATCAGAAGCCTTGCAGAGTAATATATGTCGAAGTTTATCAGAAGCAATTACTTCTATATATCAACAAGCTTTTTTTACAAAAACTAGATTAGATGGTCTATTAGTTATGGGTTATTGTGATTCAGAGATATGTAAAATGTTACTTTCTAGTATTTATTTTCATTCTTATACTATTACAACTGGAAGCTTAAACTTGACTATTTTTGGAATTGGTAAATCAAACAACCCCAATTGGAATTATGCCAGAAAAGGATACCGAAGCTCTTTTGTGCATAACTTTCGCAAAACTCGATTGATATTTTTTCAAGAATTTAACAATAAAGAAGCGATTGTTAGAATTTATCAAAATTTTCAAGAAATTCAGACTTTTTGTGATACTAACCCTAACTCCATTTGGAATAAAATCGGTATATTAACACAGTTTACAGGAAGCATACTATTTGGACTTGAACATGAATGGATGAAGTCAAAAATCAGCAAAGAACTAACCCTTTTGTGTACTGTAGAGGATTGGCAAAACAAACAAATAATGAATTCTCTTTTTAATTATCACCTAAGAAAAAATATCAATATGTCTATAAAATGAAAAAAAATTTTATTAACTGGAAAAATCAAGAAAGCAATATTATTGAATTAACAACAAAATTACAAGAAATATACCCACCAGATTATACTATTGAAGACTGTGAATTGCATGTCTGGAAAACCTTATTACAATATACAGGCTGTACCAACAGAACGCCTTTTGGAAAGGAATCTACGGTAATCTTTTAAAATAAACAAATAATAAACAAAGATTTATTACACGGCTCCCAATTGTTCACCCATGACCTTTTAAGTCTGCCATGAAAATATCAACCATGAAAACATGGGTAAAAAAGTCATGGGTGATCTGTATAATAAATTAGTTATTATACATATTTGTTGCCAATATCATTAAAATCCCGAATCAATCTCGATATCATTTATCATTGTAGCTATGCCGCAATGATAAATAATATTGAGGTTGATCCGTAAATTTAATAATATAATAAAACATGAAATAACTAATATGTACTGCACCAGATCAAAATTTGTCCCAAATTAAATTTAAAGTAGGAATTAGAGTAATTTTTAAAATGATACAAATATTAACCTAATACATAATAGTTTGAATTTTGGACTCAATCAAAAGACCCAACAAATAACCAAGCAATGTTAAAGCAGTTGTACGAAAACAGATATTTTAGTACTGAAAATCATGAAAGTGACGCAGCAATTTTGGAATGCATTTCAGGATGCCTTAGATGTTAACATTCACGGAATAGACGGAAAGAGAAAAATATTGTCAATTATTGCAGATAAAATTCTCTATAATATTATCAAAGAAAAGCTACCAGTTAGTATCTGGCAAACAATATTAAAATATTTTTAAAAAACATTTGAACTAATAAATACTTATCTTAGGTCTCAAACTATCTAATTACTAAAGCACGTCAATATGTGTGCAATAATGGTCTGGGAGGTATCTAGCTTGAAAAGCCTAAAATAACTTTAGAAAAATTGACACCAGAAAAGAAAGAACAAATTGAGTATTTTTTTCAAAATAAAGTGAATGTAGTAATGAGCTTCTATAAAACAGATAGTACTACTGGATTACCTATATATTATCTATAAAATAATAAAGAGGCTTTGTGGGAATGGTTTCACAAAGAGTACCCTAATGGCATTAAAAGAACAACGTTTTATAAACATTTACAAGGTGGCCAATATATATATAAAGAAGACTTAGGTGGTCTTTGCTTAATCTGTAATATGTATAGATATGAAATATTTGATAAGCTTAGAACATTAGTACAACATTATGCTGACTTGGATTATCAGGTATTAAATTAAATCTATTAAGTGGCACCTTTTGGAATTATAGCAAATCAGTATAGTGTGGATAAGTGGGTTGGTATGATATGGGACAACTATACTTTGCTTGTCAAATAAAGTATTATAAAGATCAATGTGGTATGACTGAACAGATCAATATGATATGGACATAATTTCATCAAACTGTACTAATGGTACTGTTTGAAAAATCACATATATACCATACTGATCTGGTAGTCATACCATATTGATCTTCTGTAATTCTTGTTAGCTATAGTTTCTAACCCTAACATTAATATATATATAAAAAGAATTATAGATCTTCAAATCGGCCCATACTATACTATACTGATCTGTAATCTAGCACTCTTTGAATGCTATTCAACATGTTTGATGCAATAATTATATCATGTGATTTCATGGACATAAATGTCTGCGAAATCATTATATTACAAGTTGAATAGTATTCAAAGTATATCAATTAACTTGTCAACTTGAAACTAACACATATTTACCTTTTAATATCGACTTAACTTTGATATTCAATAATAATAAGGAATGATTATTATCTGCATATAGTAACCTACAAAGATATTTAAAAAAGGATTATGAAACTGAACTTAAAGTTGATTTTTTTGGATATATAAAACATGATACCTGTATTAATCATTATATGCTCTATGCGTTTAGAACCTGCTCAAAATTACATGAACTAATCTGTAATAATTGTGGAGTTTTTTTTTGCTTATTTAGACAAATTCAAGATCACACACCATCTAAAATTCATGTAGAATTAAAAGAACTACAAGAATATCTATTATACTATTTGGTGCATTAAACAAGAAAAGTTTATTTAAATGCACAATTTAATACGCATTTAGGTGAGCTTGATGAAAAAGGAGCTGTAATAGTTGTTGACTATAAAATGAAAATTCTACCAAAAAGTGTACATGAAACAAAACAAGATTTCTATGGAAAAAAAAGATGGTCATTGCACTCAGTATTGATATATACTCACCTGCCAAATAGCAATAATTTACAAGTTTGCGCTTTTGACTATTGGTCGACAGATTCACACCAAGATGCTTGGTTTACCGCTTCCTCATTACATGCCGCAATAGCTGAACTTAATCCTCAGCCAGAATAGATTTCTTTTTTATCAGATAATGGGCCCCATTATCACAATGCAGATCTAATGATGATTATGGGGCAATTAAAAGAATGGTACAATATTCATGTTAGAAGATGAACTTTTCTCGAAGCTGGTGAAGCTAAAATGACCATTGATTCTCACCATGCACAGGTTTACCTTTTATTTTTTTATTTTTTTTGTTTCTATCTTATTCTTTTTTTATTTTATCTTATTTTTTTTTTGTTTTTACCTTATTTTTTTATTTTTGAATATTCTAGATTTTGCACACAATTAGTCGTCATGTCCGCTTAGGATTTGATATTTTGCAGGGATCAGATATGAAGTAGTGATTGAAGGAATTCGTGGAACATCAGTAGCCAACTTATAACCAGAACGTACTAAAGGTAAAACAAGTACAGTATATGAGATTTAAATATTAGATAAATTGTTCTTTTTATTAGTTTCAGGCAAAAAGCAGATCAATACTTTACCGGGTAACTCCAACTGGTTTTCATAGGAGTGCCTGTGCAATGGAGATTATGCAGGATATATTTGAGCACATGCAGTGCCTAATATTGGTGAATGGACCAATTTTTCACTGGCAAAATTAGAGAAATTGAGAAAGAAAGAAATACAAAAACTGAATCCTCAAGTAACTCAGCATTCGACCCCTAAATCTCCATAGTTTATCCCATTACTATGTAAATCAGGTAATATATTACTATCCTATTATCTTTTTGTACAAATTATATAGTTATCTGTTCATTATTATTAGGAGTTATTTCTCATCACTTGACGGCTGACTACCTACAAGAACTAAATGAAAAAAAAGTAATATTAATTCACTTATATTCCCAATTTTCTATTCAATATATTGACTAATAAAATTTATAATATACCACTAAATAAAAAGTGTGCATGAAGATTTTCTACTTACATTAGGGTGGGCACTAAAGGAAAATCAAAAATTCAGAAAAAAAGAATCAGGCAAAAGAATTAGTAAACACGTAATAGCTTATTTAGAATGGTATTTTTTGGTGGGTAATGCTGATAAAAGTGATCGATTTAGTGTAGAAGAAATGTGAGAGAAATTAATAGAGTTGGTAAAAGTGGGTAATCTGAAGAAAAGTGACGTTCCAAAAGTTTCAACTATTCAAAACTAGATCGCAAGATATGTAACACAACACAAGCAAAGAACAGCGCAAATAAAAATTTATGACAGTATGTAATAAAAGTCTACATATGTACATACCTGAATTGCAAAGTATTAAAGTTTTAGAGGGCGGAATCTGGAGTTTCCCCAATATAAAGTTTTTAGTAATTGATCTTTTTCAAAAAAAAATACCGATACTTGATTCTCTTGGTCTTATGTAATCAGTTGTATTACAATTTTTAATGTTATCAGGATTTAATTTGCCTGGTTAATATGAAATAAAGTTTGCCATTTTTACTTCTTTTATAAGTGATCTGCAAATGTTCCCCAAAATCTACTAATAAATTTCACTAGTTCCCATGCAGATCACGAATTAAACTTAAAAAAACTCAGGTAGCTGTGCAACATGTGACTTTACACATACACAGTGCTATACGGATTTTACTTATGCATGTGTATACATATCAAACAATATATTATAATATGAGTATTAGGCTAGGCAAAGTTAATTTTTTGGTTAGGCTGGGTTATTGAGTCTGGTAAGAAATTTATAAGGCACAATATTTAAGTTAACAAATCAGAATTGTGTATACTTTAATACTGATATTTTGAATTGCTGACTTATGTTCTAATAAACTTGAATCAGAAGGTGAAAAGGCCTTAGCAAATATATCTTGCAAGAGAAAAGAAGAAAAAAGCATTAATAGAAGAACAATTTTCTGGCTTCTTTGATTTTATAATAAGAACACAGATCAGAAGAATGAGATGTATTAATCGATGCACTTTGTAGAAGCAATCCCTAAAAGAATTGCATCTTTGAGATATGATCTGATCTAGTTAAATAACCATCGGATATTTGTTAATCTAACTTTTTTTAATATCCAGATATTGGTTAAAAAACTCCAGATAAATTCATTGAATATTCATTAAACATTCGAATACTTCTAGTGATTTGACATATTATTATTCACATATTGATTTTATTTTATTTTTTTTATTTTAAATTAAAGACTGGATTGATGAAAAAGCATTTAGCATATGAACTTTGCAAGTGCACCATACAATATTGTGTTCAGATAAGACAAAATTATAATCAATATATTGATATAAATTTTTAGAATTCTAGTTATAAGAATTATAAATCATCCCAAATAAGACATTAATAATAGATACATAGATTATTTCAAATATTCAATTAATAATAATAGTGACTGAATCGACTTGAATAAAAGATTGTTAATCAACAAAATTAGCACGGACGATAAACCAATATAACTTATATAAAGTGTATACATTACTTTTGAATACTTTGATTAACAAATTATTTTTTAAATTAACCTAAATAAGTGACTTAATGAGAAATGGCAGATAATATTACTGATATAAGGTAACTAAAGGAGTAGCCAAAAATTTTTTGTCATATTTTAGACTATATTTTAATATAAAAATAAGAAATGACATATTTTAAATATATTCACTATTATAATTATTGCCACTAAATGAATGAAATAAGAAATCAAATTAAAAGTGAATAAGCACTATTTATATTTTGCAACGGCATAAATAAGAGGTAAATTCCTGCAATGAAAAATGAGGGATTGAACCTAGGTGCCGCACAAAAAATGCGCAGCAGATCCTCGATTTTGATTGTCTAACAGCCGAGGATCTACAAAATTTTGCCCGCATTACATAATTGTTTACTAATTTCTGGCCGGAATTTCTTTTAATTTTTTCATTACAAAAATATAAAATAAGTCCGCATTATAGCAAAACTAGTCCAATAACAAATTTCACATGGGCGGTCGCGATTTCATTAGCAAAATTATGAGTAATTCCGGCCTAATTTTGATTGTCGCTCTTAGCCAATCAAAATCAAGGATCTGATGCGCATTTTTTGTACAGCACCCTAGGTTGGGTATTATTCATTTGTAGTGGTGATTTCATTTTTTTTTTGATCTACAATATTGAAAACGAGATCAGCATGGCATGTTTTTAAAATCCTCTTACTATATAATTTTATCATTCAACTATCCGTAATTTCTAAAAACATTCCGCTGTAAAGATTTAGTTATCATAATAAAGCAAAATAAATGCCGTAAAAATACTCATCATTGATGTTTTATACGTTTTGGAGGATCAAATTTACTCCCACGCCATGAAAACTTATATTTTTTAATATTAAAATAAATTAGTAATTCGAAATAAATTAAGAATGTGAGTTGTACTTTATTTTCACATGAAAAAAATGATCGGTAAAAACACTCGGGATAGATGATAATTTATTATAAGAATACGGTATACTGTATGTACGAGGTTTTTTTAGAGGCTCAGGCAATGGTAAAGAATTTTAATTATCATTTTTTTATTTAATCCCTAATTTATTACAATAGCAGGTCTTTTCTAATATTTTTAATTATTTAAAATGCTTGTCTAGACATACTTACAACACAAAGTACATTAAAATATACCTACAAAATATTCTGTGCATGCCATCACTAGTTATAATAATGATTGACAGGTCTTCTGATTTAATTTTATACCAAAATCATTATAAAGAATCCAGATATTCGGATATCCACTATATTTTGAAATAATCAATGTAACTATTATTAATTACTTATTCGTGATAATTTATGTTCTTATGAGTTGATTTTCTGAAAATTTATATACAAAATATTGATTATAAATTTTAGCCTATCTGAATTCAAGTTGTATAGTGCACTACTTGCACTTGTACTGTATATTGTAATAGTGTTCATAATCTAAACCCAACAAATCACAAAAAATTAGCTATATACGTTCGTTACAATAATTTTATGCTATACTAAGACCGATAGTCTTTTTGGTCTGTTTATAAAAGACCAGACTGGTCGACAGAGCATAAGACTGGGGTTTGTCAGACTGATTAACAGCCCTAATTGTGTAAATGATTTAAATTTAATAATATATCAGATCAAATATCGCAAAAAGTGCAGAATTAGATTAGCTTAAAATTTTAACCTCTTATTTTCCCCGTTACTGGGTTTGCGCGATGATGACATGCAGCTACCTTATTGGGCATATAGTGATTTGGAGAGGTTTGACGATATTTGTATTCATCCAATTGGAAGCTGGAAGAAAATTATTAAACCCATTTTACCAAACCCGAACATGTTCATGAACTTTCGAACTAAACCTGAACCGAACCCAGACTTGGTTTAAAAGTTCGATATCGAACTCAGACTGAACTGGAATTTTAAAATTAAGTCTGGTTCGGGTTCGGTCCGAATTTGGACCGAACTTGAACTTGACCCAAAGTTTGGTTCGGTTCAGTTTTTAGGAACACTATTTCAGATAGACAACCTATTAATTGATATAATGTATAAAAAAAATAATTCAAATTTTTTAATAATTTGACATTATATTCACAACTTAATCATTTCTTACTAGACTATACAATTATATAAAGAACTCCTTGTTACAATGTAATATTATTCAAAGAAAAATAATAAAAGATAATAGAAAAAAGAAATAATAATAACAATAATAATATCATTATTATTTGTATAAAATAAAAAATAATAATAATAAACTACATGTAAGTAAAGAAAAATAATAAAAGTTAAACTAGGTAGTTTGAATTCAAAGTATGGTTTCCACTGAGTCTCACTACCAATTCCCTTCATTTGTCAATGCTTAGTTTATTTTTCCGAAGATCTAGAGAGACTAAGTTCCTATTATGGTTACAAAGGAACTTTACTAATGGCTCCACTCCTTTATTTTTTATATTATTATGGCTCAGGTTTAAAGTTTTTAAAGAACTATTATTGCAAAGAATCTCTGCAATAAATTTTCCAGTTTGAGACCTAGTTGGTTTAACTAAGATTTAAATATTTCAATGTAGTATTATTGTTAAAGTTTTTCAAAAATAATTTAATGTCTATATCGCTTATATTGTTAAACCAAAGGTTCAGCTCTGTTAGGGATGTGTTATTGCGAAGTGCCTCCGATAATGCTTTTATACCTCTCTGGCGATTGTTATCATGCGGTTTGTTAAAAAAAATACCCATAATTACATGTCCCCTTGCAGGAATGAGCAATTAAATGCAAGTTTTAATGATGTCAATGTGGTAATTCTACTCAGAGTTTCCACAAGAATCGTATCACCTTCAGGATCAGTGTTACTTTCGCTAATTCCAAGATGGATTAAAGTGGAGTTATTGTCAAGAACATCAGACAATAATATTACTCCTTGAGGACAAATTTGACACTCCCAAAGATCCAATAATGTTAAGAATAGATTATTCTTAAGAGTATCTGTTTATAGATTAGGTGATGTTCGTAACGAGAGTATTAATCAAACGTTAGGTTCGATATGTGAGGCTTAAAGGTATATGATTTATTAAAACGACGGTATGATTGATTAGAAGTAATTATCAGATAAATGAAAAGTAATCGTATGATTTATCGTAAGTAATTGTAAAATATGAGAAATAATTGTATGATTAAGTGATTTTAATAAAAGCAAAGGCGGGAGTTGTTTTTCCCCAGGGCCGAAAAGGCCTTTATTTATAATTGTTAAATCGCTTTATTTACATTCCCAAGAATCTTCTATATCCCAAATATCATCAATAAACCCATTATCATCCTTATAGCTCGTATTATTATGATCGCCACTTTACCCAAATTATCCTAATTCTCCTGATCTGGCGGTTCTGACATTTCTGGGGTATCTGGTAGACCTGGGATTTCTGGGCGGGAAGCCCAAATTAGGATTTACCGAGTCACGTGGTCACGTGCCTGCCGTCATCCGGTACAAGTCAATTTAATGATCGATCATAAACCAAATATAGATAATGAAGAATCGCGCACTGAAGATAGTGAATCCGAATTTACTCTTCATGAGGTATAAACATATATATATATTTAATTTTATGTTTTAGCCGCTTGATTGTCTTGAAAAGTCGAATAATTTTCCCAATCGAAAAAAAATGGCTTCAAAAGTATTGAATCGAACTTTAAACCTATTCAAAAAAATAGTAGATGACAGTGTATGTAACAAAGTACCTTTTATTAATAGAAATTTGAAGCTTTATACGTGTAGTAAATAAGATTTGAATTTGGAAGAAAATCATTTTATATATTTGAATTGAGTGTAATTTGACTTATAACTTGTAGTGATAATTAAATAAATTCTAATAAGTTGAATAAATATAATAATAAAAAAAAAACTTCGATTATTTCTTCAAAAATCTTGTGATCTCGTGATTCTATTAGCAGATTGAAATTTAAAAAGCGATTACGTAACTGATTTTGGTGGCGATTCTAGGCGCATTGGAGAATAGTTGCGAAGGAAGTTAAAATCGGCCATTACCAAATTACCATTTCCAAATTTAGGGTCCTTAAAGCGAGGCAGATCACGCGACATAACATTATCCACTTCATCGGTTTCACAAGTTTTACTAATTTGATTGTTTCACAACTTTTTCTGAAGCCATAAATCCAACAAATGTACAGCACACATGTACGTACGTACTGTATGTAGTACTCACTGTATGTAGTACTCACTTACAGTACATGCAGTAATAATTTTCTCAATATGATAGCGTTACCGAATGAATGCTACTATTCAATATTTAATAACCTCCGACATAATCATAAAAGCCTGTTTTCATGTTCGCTTGTAAACCGTCAATGGTGTAGAATTACTATACCAATTTTGTGGAGCGAACCGGAAAATCATTTTAAAAATTCAAGACTAATAAGAATATTTCTTTTATCGTTAAATGCAGAAGAGCTATTTCTATTAACTCCTTTTGAAATTACCCTTCCAAATCATCCAAAACCACTATTTGATTATACAAGTTATATTACATCCGTTACCAATGATTTTTATAATGGCGTTAGTGATTGGCTTAATTGTAAAAGATACTACGAAAGACAAAAGCTTGAAAATGCTATTATATGTTCTTTAATCGCAATGTTTCTACGAACTAGTAAGAATCTTAAACATTTAAGTCTTAATAGACTTATTTGCAACCAAATAATATTTGAAAAACTTTATGAGAACACTACTATTACCTCAATAAATTTATATAAAATCAATAATAATTTTAAGTCTGAGGCAATGGATGTATTAGTAAATATCCTTTATATGAACAATAATTTGACTTCCTTAAATCTTGAATCTAATAAATTTGGATCTGAAGGAATGAAAATATTGTTTAAGGCTCTTTATAAAAACGATGTTATAAATTCTTTAAATCTTAGTTATAATTATAATCAGATTGGTATTGAAGAGGGGAAGGAACTAGCAAAGATTCTTAACAAGAACAATGCCTTGAAATATTTGAACCTTTACTCGAATCATCTTGGATCAGAAGGAGGAAGAACATTAGCCGATGCACTTTGCAAGAACTCCACATTGACTTCTCTGGATCTTGGTTCTAATTACTTTCGGTCAGAAGGAGGAAAAGCATTAGCTGATGCACTTTGCATAAACTCCACTCTGACTTCTTTGGATCTTTCTAATAATAAACTTGGATCAGAAGGAGGAAAAGTATTAGCTGATGCACTTTGCAAGAACTCTACGCTGACTTCTTTGAATCTTCTAATAATAAACTTGGATCAGAAGGAGGAAAAGCATTAGCTGAAGCACTTTTCAAGAACTCTACGCTGACTTCTTTGAATCTTGCTAATAATCTTCTTGGGTCGGAATTAGGAATAACACTAGCAGTTGTGCTTTGTTATAACACCTCATTAACTTCTTTAAATCTTTATTATAATGGACTTGGATTAAGCAGAGGATACGCTATAGTAAATGCACTTTGCAAAAATAACACGCTAAAAAATTTAGATCTTCGAAACAATAATATTAGAGGATACGAATTATTTGAAGCACTTTGCAAGAATACCATGCTGAAAAATTTATATCTTCGAGAACCTTATCCTGAAAGAGGAGAAGTATTAGTATATCTACTTTCCAAAAACACCGCGTTAACTTATTTGAAACTTCGTTGGAAAGGACTTGAATCAAAAGAGGGAAAAGTATTAGCAGATGTACTTTGTAAGATCACCACGCTTACTTCTTTGGATCTTGGTTATAATAATCTTGAATCAGAAGGAGGAAAATCATTAGCTGATGCACTTTGCAAGAACTCTACGCTGACTTCTTTGAATTTTTCTAATAATAAACTTGGATCAGAAGGAGGAAAAGCATTAGCTGAAGCACTTTTCAAGAACTCTACGCTTACTTCTTTGGATCTTGGTTATAATAATCTTGAATCAGAAGGAGGAAAATCATTAGCTGATGCACTTTGCAAGAACTCTACGCTGTCTTCTTTGAATCTTTCTACTTTTCAAGAACTCTACGCTGACTTCTTTGAATCTTTCTAATAATAATCTTGGATCAAAAGGAGTAAAAGCTTTAGCAGATGCACTTTGTAAGAACTTTTCGTTGACTTCTCTGGACCTTGGTTTGAATGATATTGGATCAAAAGGAGGAAAAGCATTAGCTGATGCACTTTACAAGAACTCCATGCTAACTTCCTTGAATATTCGTAAAAATAAACTTGGATCAGGAGGAGGAAGAGCAATAGCAAATGCACTTTGTAAAAACTTTTCATTGACTTCTCTGGACCTTGGTTTGAATGATATTGGATCAAAAGGAGGAAAGGCATTAGCTGATGCACTTTGCAAGAACTCCATGCTAACTTCCTTGAATATTCATAAGAATAAACTTGGATCAGGAGGAGGAAAAGCATTAGCAAATGCACTTTGTAAGAACAACTCATTGACTTCTCTGGACCTTAGTGTAATGATATTGGATCAAAAGGAGGAGAAGCATTAGCTTATGCACTTTGTAAGAACAACTCATTGACTTCTCTGGACCTTAGTATGAATGATATTGGATCAAAAGGAGGGGAAGCATTAACTTATGCACGTTGCAAAAACTCCACACTGACTTCATTGAATCTTTCTAATAATAATCTTGGATTAGAAGGAGAAAAAGCATTAGCTGATGCAATTTGCAAAAACACCACGTCGAAAAATTTGAACCTTATCGGAAATAATTTTGCTGATAAAATAATGACAAAGAATCCAGATCTTCAATTAGAACAATAAATTAATATGCATATATATATAATATAGTTGCTTATATTTATTGCCTATATCTATTGCTTACATTTATTGCTTATATTTATTGCTTATATTTGTTGCTTATATTTGTTACTTATGCAGTATTTGTTCTCCGTGACTTAAAATTAAATCTAATTTAAAAGCGTTATTTTATCATTTTATTAATACCACAAAAGAGAATGTGAGAAAATTTAAATATTGTAACCCTCTCGTTCATTAATTTTTAATTATGAGGGTTTGAGATTGATTTATTTTAAATATGTAAGATAGAATATATTGCAAAACTTATCTTGAAATGAATTATTCGTTAAGGGAAGTGCCAATTATCATTTGATTTTTTATTACCTACATACATGATAAACGATAATTATTTATTTATATCTAAAAATTTCTGAGATTATACAATATTGACGGCCATTGTATATTTTGTAACATATTTGCATAAGGTTTTTTGAGTCAGATTTAAATTTATTATTATTTGCCGAACACAATTCCGAGCGATACCTATTTTTTACATAACCCGTCATTTATCTACAGGGTTGATGTCCAAAAAACTTGTAAGATTATTGGACAATTTTAATAACATGGATAAAGTTTTATTGCTTTTAACTCCAATAATATATAGTTATTGGATGCGAAGCAGCCAATAACTCGAATTATTTGTAAAATAATTCATTAGGAGTTATTGGC